CTTGCCATTTTAGCCTCTTCCAGGAAATCTAATTGTCCACCATCTTCATTCACTGTTTCCTGTCACCAGATGCCTTCCCTGGGCTTACGGAGCACCCCTCCCCTTCCTGGGCCACCCCTCCCCCTCCTGGGCCGCCCCTCTGGGACATGTGCTTGCCCCCTTCTTACAATCTGGTGGTTTTAGGAACATTCACCAGGTTTGTGGCAACACACTTGGCACAGAGGGGTTCAAAGCTCCTTTCACTTCTGGAAAGGGATCAGACAAGCAGTTTTCCAAATGGAATTTAATCTACAATTCTTTTATTAACACTTGGGATTAAAGTCTCTGCACCGTCAGATTGTTGTTTGTTGTTGTGTACAGTTTGATCTTAGGGAAGGAGACTGCCCATCTTTCTCTCAGGAAGCAGCTGGTAAACTTGAACCGCTGCCTTCAGGGGTTGCAACACAGCTCCTTACCAGTAGGCCACCAGATTAGAGGTGTTTTTTCTAACCTGATTACGAGCTCACAATAAATGCTAAAGTACTTAAAGTACTAAAACTATGTCAATATGCCTTGTTATTTGAGAATATGGTCTTTGTAAAAATATTAGCATTTCAAAAGACACTTAATCTCTCTCTCTCAGCTTTCCCCTAGAATTAAAAAAAATGCTTGCCAATCACAAGCTATAAGCTTGAGAACTCTGGGGACTGATGAGAAGGCTGGGCAGAGAAGGCCAATACATGGAGAAATCAAGCCCGGAACCGCGATTTCCTAGACAAACCCCACGCTGACGACTGCTTCAAACCAGGATGTCGTGGCCCACTTCTGCTAATGCTCCTTTTAAACATGCCCTGTGGAGTCCCTTCTAGAGTTCTTTATAAACCCAAAAAGAGAACAAGAAAGCTAGCAGAGGAATCCCCAGGATTTTCCTGTAACACCTGCAGAGAGGGAACATAAATGGTGGGATATCCCCAGGTGGGCTTAGAAAGCCTGTCAGCTGGTCTACTGCTAGCCTAGTAGAAGCCTCTTCATAACACAATTATACCAGTCCTGAAAAACTAGCCTTTGTCTGAAGGGAAAAGCCTCAGACTCTAAATTGGTTAAAGCTCTCCTTACTCACTTCCATCATCAGATCTTAATTATCTGCAAATTGCCTTCAATTGTATTCCAGTCAGTATTCCAGGAAGTTCCAACCTCTCAACCTACGTTCTTTTGTCCTGATGTCACCCCAGCAGACAGAGAAGTCTAATCTAGGTCACTAAGAGGCAGTTAAATTCTCATCCAAAACCTGTGTGCCAACAGAGACCTCAGTAATCATGTGGGTCTCTGCTGTGGTTTGCTCTAATGCAGAAGGGAAAAGTGAGGCCAGGGCAAGGGAATGAGGGGCCCAAGGTCTCCTCACTGGTAAGGCAGAGCCTGGATTCCTGCCCAAGTCTGAGGGCTTTCTGTTCAGTTCCCATCATTTCGACTTTCAGCTTCATTCCTTCTCTTCATCACATCTATCTTCACAGCTATCTTCTTTCGATGGTCACTGATTTTGTTGTCGCATTAAAACAAACCAAACACTTGCCATTGAGTCAGTGAGAGAACCACCCCGTAATACTGCCACCTTTTCTGTGGAGAAGTTGGTGGGTTTGAACCATCAACCTTTCATTTAGTGGTTAGACACTTAACCAGTGCTCTAGCAGGGTTTCTTTTGGTCTTAAGGTAAGGTGGCACAATTTGTTATTGTTAACACAGATAGCACAGGAGAGGAGGACTCTGGATGAGATGGACTGTAACAGTAACTGGGGAATTGGGGGTAGGAGTGTCAGAATCAGTGAAACTGGCTCAGGACAGGGCAGGGTTCAGAGCTGCTGTGCACAGGGTCGCTATGGGTCACAGGTGACTCAACGGCACTTAACAACAACAACATGCTCACAATAGAAGTCTTGGGACATGGAGCTTTCTGTTAGTTTTCTACTTACAGTACTAACATGTGTTGGTAGAGAATTTGGAAAGTACAGAACAGTATTACTCAATGCCACTGAGTCACAATCAGCTTGTGTCTAATCCTCCATCGGATTTCTGAGACTGTAAAGCACATAGCGGAGATTGCCCATCATTTTCATATGTAGCCAGTAGTAGATTTGAACTGCCAGAAAGGTGTGGCCTTCAGATCAACAACACAATTCCCTAGAGAAGAGGTTCCTAGTACTCCCTACAGAGAGCCAGAGAAACACAGAATCCAAGAGTCCACCATATTAGCAGGGTAATAAGCACTGTTGACATTTCGGTATCATCCTTTCCAATCATTGCTTTTCTTCTCCACTTAAGCGTTTTCTTATTTGGCCCAGATAACTCTGCACAAGTGTATTCTATTTCTCTGCCTTCATCAGGAACTCATTTATCTGTCAAAAGGATAATCAAAGTCTGAAAACCATGGGCACGGCTTTGCCCTGTGGTTTTGGCATCTTTGGGGCCTTCTTTGTGGAGGTTGTTTTGAAATCATTTTGTTGCCAAAAAGCTGCAAATACTTTCTTCTGTTTGTTTACTTGGATCAAGAAAAACCTCCCCCTGAAATGATGCTGGCCGCATCCTGTCCAATACATGCCAACATCAACACACATGCACATTTGCATTTGAAACAAGATGCACATTTAAAGTGCATCTTTTTAAAAGGGAAATTAAGGCCAACTTTTAAAGGGAAAGCTACACTGAAGCAGAGATATATATGTCTTATATTTAAAAGACCACAACAGAATGGCCATGGAAGTTCAACTTTATGTTCTCAAAGGAAAAGCAAATGGGAGATCAAAGTCCCACACTCATATCCCACCCCCACCACCACCACTTATCTGGGGCTGTATTCTGTCTGTCCATGTATAATTTCAATTTCAGAAATATTTCTTCCACGATTTTTATTCAGCCTTGGCCCACTCTCTTCCTTTATTTAAAACTGGGAAAAGGTTCACTTATGTATAGCAACAGAAGCACACAGCGAACCCAGCGTTAAGTCCTAAAGTGAGAAATGTCACTTAGGCTTACATCTGGAAGGATTTTGCTGCTGGGATGAACTGCCCCTCGCTGACTTATCTAGCATGTCATCACATGCCCAGCTTTTGTCTAAATTGAAAGAATAAGTTACTCAAGTCCTCAAATGAAGCTTATTAAAGCAGCCAAGGAAAAGAACTGAGTCTTGGCCAATATTCCAGCAGGAGATTTAAGTTGGTCATACTACAATTAAAATAAAAAGACAACATGTGTCGAATGCATGACAAATACAGCAATTACATCAAGGTTTTCCAATACTTTGGACAGTTCTACCAGAAGGATGCTTTCAGCAGTGTTGTAAACAAATGTTAAAAGTCTGGACTCTCCAAAAGTTCTTCTCTGAAGTCTGATTAATAAAACATGGCCTTTTGAAGGAAGCATCATTGGCCAATAGCCTTGCAGAACTTCATGAACAGGACCAGAGGCCACTGAGAAAGAGTGATGATGGCTAGTTGACCAGTAGAGAATTGTCTTTCACCTCCCAGCCAAACCACTCATGAGCCAAGTGCATCTTCTCTAGCTCGCTCATAAAAGGTTTTGTGTTACCAGGGGTCCTGGTACACACAGTTAGTTAATGGTTATTTAGTAGCTGCTAACCAAACAGGAGGGATTCTCATTCCTCAGGAGAAAGACCTTGTGATCTACTCAGAAAAAAATCATCTCTAACAACCTCTTTCTACCCAGAAAACACAAGGTGAGCACGAGACAGACTCAACCTGATAGTAACTGTTCTGTATGTTACCGACCAAATCTGAGCCATGGCAGAAGCCCAGTGGTTTTTTGCAATCTACAGCACTTGAAAACAAGTCGGCCAAAGTGAAGACACAGGTGCTCTCAGTGGTGCTGAAGCCACTCTAGGATCTGTCAGTCATAACAATACTGGCTGCCTTTTCAGACAAACACACCTTGAAGTTCATCCCTTTCCCCACTATTGTCGCCAATTAAAAACTAAAACCCAAACCTTTTACCTTGCAGTAAATTCCAGCCCACAGTGACAGTGTAGAACAGAGGACAGCTGGCCCACAGAGATCCAAGGCTGTCATCCTCCTGGGAGCCGACTGCCACACCACGTGACCACACTACAAACCCACCAGCCTTTCAGTCAGGAGCCCACCAATTAACCTTGCATCACGGGGGTTCCTTGGCCTCATGTTTACAAAACTTCAAACTCACTGACAATAAGAACCACCAACTTAGGAACATTCAAATTATAGGAATTTGAGTTGTGGTGCTGGAGAAGAGTCTTGAATATACCATGGACCGCCAAGAAAACAAATAGGTTTATCTTAGAGAGGGTGAAACCAAGTTTCTCCTTGGAGGCTAGGATTTCAAAACTCTGTCTCACATACTTTGGGCACATGGCCAGGGGACCGATCCTTGGGAAAGGACATCATGCTCAGAAGGGTGGAGGGACAGCGCAGGAGAGGAAGACCCTGGATGAGATGGATTGATACAGTGACTGGAGCAATGGGGGCTGGTGTGTCGAAATTAGTAAGACTGGCTGAGGACAGGGCAGACGTCAGAGCTGCTGGGTTACAGGCAACCCGATGGCACATAACAACAACAACAATCTAAGAGAAAAAAAATTACAGTAGAAGAGGCTGAACCTCGATTGCTACTGCCGATCAGTGACCTACAACACAGAGAGCTTGGCAGCGATTAGCAGATCAAGTGTGAGTTTAGGAGTCAGATGGACCCAGGTCTAAGTCTCAAGTCTGCTTAACTGAATGATTGTAACAGTTATTTCTAATCGGTGAAAAGAAGGCCCCCTGACCGTGGTAAGGACGCAGCGTGGCACACAGGCTCTCAGCTGTAAGGCACATGCTTATTCTGCAAAGTTTCTTTTTAGAGCTATTTCTTTATTTAGAAAACAAGCCCACTCCCCTCTGTCTGGAAAATTTGCTCATCTCTTACGGCTGACATTGTTAACCACTTTTTAAGTCGCCCCAGGCAATCAATGTGTGTGCCTAGAGTTTTAAAATATTTACCTGCAAGCTGTTATTCAGCAAATCAAAGTCACTATATCTTCTAACAATCTGTAAGAGACAAGATAGACAGTTGTGTTAAGACTCAGCAAAGGCAATTGCTTTTTTTT